CTTCCTTTTTCAGTACCTTCGCCCCCAGTCCTTGTCAGGGAGCCGAGACTGGTCACTGTATGTCAATGGGGACTTCTCTTCACAGCAATGAAGGACTGGGGGCAAAAGGTGGTTCCCTTGGGACAGGAAAACAGGATCTTGATTTTAAAAGAGGAGGAGGAACCTGAGAACTCTGGAGACCATCTGAATCTTCACTCCCTAGGAAAAGTCCCCAATCAGCCGCTTATATCCCTCTTTGTGACTCCTCTCAGCTGTCCCTCACCAGTTCCCAGAACCCGGATCCACCTCCCCTCACTCCCACCAAAAATGGCACCCCCCAAAGCCTCATAGCTTGTTTCCTCCGGTCTCTGGAGAAAACAAACAGAAGTTTGTAAAATTCTCAGAAGCGATGTTTGTATTTTTATTGTTCAACACATAGAGTGTTAAAGGGGACAAGCATTGGAAAAGTTGAAAACCATAGAATCTTTAAATGTCTCAGAACAAGCAATCTCTCTCTGTACCGGTCTCTCCGGCTTGGCTTTGCACCTAACCCACTGTTTTCTCTCTTTTTCTGGGACAAGCCAAGCCTGAGCTACTTATTTTATTTCCAGCAGTGATTGAGAAGCAGCCTGTGAGTCCCACCCACATCCAGCAGAGGGTGATAGATGGTGACTTGGATGGGGATCATGACAAACAAGGGGCATCCCATCTCTACATTTGTTTCATTGCTGATCGCCTTCCCCCAGCCCCCCACCCGTAGTTCTCTTTTTATTTGTCTACCAGTCACATTCTCTCTTTGTGTTATCAATATAAGATCATTTTAAAACTCAGTACTTGACCGCTGATGTATCCAATCAATAAGGTGGAAAAGATTAAATAGAGGTGTTTACAAAGCTAATCTGCAAATGGGAAACTCATTTAAGAACTATAGGATCAAAGATTATGCACACACAATCACAAATTGGAGAGTGAATTAAAACATATATCTAACCACAAAAAAGATAGGAGCAAAGATATTACTTACCAAGCCCTAGCTTGGATAACAACTATTTAACACTGAAAAGCGCAGGGGGGCGGGGTGGTGGTGGTATCAAAGTTGATGATAGACAAGCTAAAACTTCTGTACACCTAAACATTAGGAGAAATAAAAGAAAAGAGTAATTTTCAGACCGAAGAGAATTTTTACAGAATATATGACAAAATGTGGAGAAAAAACTTACATAAATGGATTTAACAGCAACAACCAAAGAGCTCCTAATTATGAAACGTGGCAGTGCCCTAACAGAGAAATCACTAATAAGGATATTACGTTAGCAAACTAAGTCTTCAAGAAAATGTCCAACTCACTAGTTAGCAACTAATGCTAACTCTAAAATAACCAGCAAGAAAAACCTTTATGATAATATGCAAAACTAGTGAAATAGCTAAGCCGGCTCTCACTGCCATTGCGTAGATTCTGACTCAGTTGCGGTACAGGACAGAGTGGAACTGCCTCTGCCTGTGGGTTTCCGAGACTGACGCTCTTCACAGGAGTAGAAAATCCTCATCTGAAGAGGCTGGCGCTTTTAAACTGCTGATTTTGAGGTTAGCATGAGACAGGCCCTCTGTCATATACACTAATGTACTACTAAGCGACGATATAATATTACAGTGTGGCAATCTGTACCCAAAGTCTTAAAAATGCTCTGACCTTTGGCGGAGTGGCTTTCCTTATAAGAATATGCCACGTAGGAATAACCTGACATTTGGGTAAAAACTTTCGACGTGAGGATGTTTGCCACAAACTTGTCAATGCTATTTTAAAATGGAAATATGCTAAAAATCCAATAAAAGGGAGGTAGTCAATTATATTTTGGCTGTATCCATTTCATAGACTAACATGTAGACATTGAAAATGGTGGTTACAAAAGCTAGAAATTGATAAGGCAAAAATAGAGAAGTTGAATTGTTAGGTAAAGTATGCTTTTTCACTACAGTTAAAAACAAACAGAAAAAAAATTCTTGGAATTGCTTTTATTTTCTCCCCTGTAGTTTCCAAGCACCTATATTATTATTTATAATAACTGCACATATAACACTCATATGTTATATATGTGGGAGTACTCCCCCCAATGGAATTTTTTTTCAAAGTTATGTATTTAATTTTTTTTTTAACCAAACAACCTTCTCACCTTCAAAGTACTCTCCATGACACTACATTTGTCAAATCTGCAATTCCATTCTTGGAAACATTTTTCAAACTCATCTGTTTGGATGGCTTACAGCACTTCTCTTGGTTTTTTTTCTTCACCTCTTCTACGTCCTTAAATCGTTGTCTTTTCATGTCCCTCTTCATTCGTGGAAACAAAATGAAGTCACAAGGAGTGAGGTCAATTGAATAAGATGCCTGGGGCAAGAGAGACGTGCTCTTTTTTTGCCAAAAACTGGCGCAGTGAGATGGTTGCATGAGCAGGTGCATTGTTGTGGTGGCAAACCAGTCCCCTGTCTGCCACAAATCAGGCATATTTTGGTCACACACTGCTAGGCAATCTTTTCAGAACCTCTAAATAGAAAGCTTGATTAACAGTCTGACCTGGAGGAATGAACTCCAAATGCCTTATTCCCCTCACATTAAAAAAAAAAAGAGCATCATTTTTTTTGCAGGGGGCGGTACCCTCTCATACCCTGCTTCCCTGAAAATAAGACAGTGTCTTATATTAATTTTTGCTCCCAAAGATGCACTAGGTCTTATTTTCAGGGGATATTTTATTTTTCCATGAAGAAAAATACGGTACACATTTATTGTTGAACAACAAAAAAAGGAACTTTAATACCTGTATACAGTACAGTAGTAGTTGTCATCACAAACCAGCATAATCAGACAAACTGTGAATCCTACAGTATAAAGAAATTCTTGTTACTACTATTATTTCCATGTACAACAATCTATGGTACATTTACTTGCACTTCCTGTCTGCTCCGGCTGCGCTGCAGCCAACAGTGAGCTGTGCAGCGGCGCCCGCTGCTATGGTCCAGAGTCCAGAGGTAAGGTAGCTTTGGGGGGCCTTATTATCAGGGAGGCCTTATGTTCGGGGAGGTCTTATTTTCGGGGTATGCCTTATATTTCAGCAAGAGGCAAAACTGTAAGTAGGTCTTATATAATGAAGATGAACGATGAGTTGGAAGTACCATGTGGAGAGGGGAGTCTGGAACCCCAGGTAATGGGGCATAGGCATGGAATTCTAGTCAGGGAGCATACACATCTTGTGGGGAAGGTTGTCAAATGGGGTCTTTCCTGCATCCCTCATAGAAGAAACTGTACCCTGGAGTCAAATTCAATTCTGAAGACTTGATGCAATCTCTAAGAAACAAGCAAATTGTTGAAGAACACACACACACACACACACACACACACACACACACACACACCACATGGACTGCTCTGTCTGGAATCACAGCCCCGAGACTAGCCACCTTTCAAAGGCAGCAGAGTTCAAGCAGTACCTTCCATCCAGAATCCTATGATCCAGTTCCTTCTCTGTGGTGCTTTCTCCCACCTCCTGGTGAGAAAGGAATAGGGGTGGTGGTACAATTAAGACCCAGGCAACCAGGTGTGATGGCCTCAGACCATCCAACCAATCAGAGGAAGACCTGGGACTGGGCCAATGTCCTTGTGACCAAGGCCCCTCTCCTGGGCAGAGGATATGGAGGGAAGTTCTTGAGACAGGAAGTCTGGGCCACCTGAACTACTTGACTTCTTTGGCTCCTGAATACATATTTCAAATATACTCCAACGTCCCTCCTTCCTTTCCGCGTTCATTCTGTTCTCTTTCCCCCTGGCACTGTCTCTTGCTTTCCCTCTCTGAGTCTCTTTCTCTCACCCCACCCCCCATTATAGAAATGTTTCTTTAACCCCTGCTCTGTGTTGGTAAATGTCCTAGATGGTCCACATGGTTAACACACTCAGTTGCTGATCAACAGGTTACAGGTTCAAGTCCACCCAGAGGTGCCTCAGAAGAAAGTCCCGGTGAGGCATTTCTGGAACCTCAGCCATTAAAGACCACCTGGAGCCTAATTCTACTCTAATACACCTGGGGTTGCCACGAGTTGGACTTGACTTGATGGGAACCAGCACTGGTAATGTGCTGGTAGGCTATCAGGCATCGTCCCCAGATGTTCCCTAGTTTTGTGGGGGAGAAGAGCAAGCACATTGGGAAGTACAGCAGAATTCAAGAAGTGCTGTAATTGAAGTAAGTGAGGGCCTTTGGGAAACAGAGTCCAAACAACCAACTCAGCTGGGGGTGGGAAGAGAGAGAGTGCATCCCAAATGAGGTGATAGCTACTGTCCTGAACACTGAGTAGGGAAAGACAGGCAAGAAGGAGCAGCTAAACTAGCCCATGCAAAGGGGGTCAGCGGATTTTCTTACAGTCAGTATGCCTCTGCTTGTCTATTTGACTCAATGTGTCTGTGTGTGGGGGTGGTGGGGGGTGGGGGGGGGAGGAGTTTACTGCTGCCAAATGGTCAAACATGCAACCCTGGAAAGGATAGAGGAAGGAGGAGAATAGAAGGGAAAATAAAGGAGAAATGGAGTCAGAAAATGAAACAAAGGGAGGAAGAAAAGAAAAAGAGAGGGTTATTGAGAAAGGTGGTTTGGAGTTGAGTCAGGCAATCTCGGTCTCATTCCTGGAAAACTCAAGAGATGGATTCTTGGCATTTTCCACATGGCTGTTCCTGTATTCAATGTGGGGAAATTGGAGGAATGCCATCCCTGATTCTGCCGAGCTCCCAATTCTTCTAGGGACAAGAGAGTATGCATAGGGAATGATCCTAGAGATGACCAACTTGAGAACAGAAAGAGATCGAAATGAGTTAAACTAGCAGGGCTTCCTGGAACATGTGACTCTCGAGAGCAGTTCTGAGACAAAGACTCTACTGAATGGATGGAGTCTTGCTTAAGTCTTGGCTGGGTCTGCTATGTGAGGTCTGCCTCTTGTCTGCTTCTTCCTGGCTGACTGTGGAGATGTGAATTCCAGCACTCAGGATGCTGCTGCTGCAAGCCGTTCTACTGTTACTGGCCCTGCCCAATAGTGAGACCGTGACTGAAGACTCTGAAGTCCTGCTTTCCCCACCCAAGGAGGGCTGTGCAGGTTGGATGGCTGGCGTTCCAGGTTATCCTGGCCACAATGGGACGCCCGGCCGTGATGGCAGAGATGGCACCCCTGGAGAGAAGGGTGAGAAAGGAGAACCAGGTAAGGACAAGGTCTTGGCCTCTTCCTCTAGTGCAGATCAGGCTCCTGGAGCGAGGAGGGCTTCCAGGGCTGTGGGTGGGCATTGTTTTCTACTAAAACCTAGACAAAGGGAAGAACTATAGCACTTTATATTTGTTGCTATTTTACCATGATCATAAGCTACTGGAAGTGGGTGTTGGGTTGGTCCTTATTTTAGTTAATTAGTGGTGCTATAATAGAAATAGCACAAGTGGATGCTTATAACAAAATTTTTTTATTTTCTCACAGGTAGGAAGGTAGGATCAGAATTCAGGGTGCAGACTCTAGGGGAAGGCTTTCTTTCTCTGCCAGCACTGGAGGAAGGTCCTCGTCTCTTTAGCTTCTGCTTCCTTGGAGATCTCAATGTATATTGGCATCTATTTTACTGTGTTAGTTTGGGATGACTAGAGAAACAACTCCAGAGACACTCATATATGTATAAGAGCTTTACATCAAGGAGTGTGTTAGACAGGGCTCTCTAGAAAAACAAAACAAGGACACTTATGATTTTAGATAGATAGATACAACAGCTAATTAGTCTACATAGCAGCATAGAGGGCTCAGTTCAACTCACTTCCATGGAACAGTTACTATCCTGGAAGTCCTTCAACTCATGAGGGCTGCTGGGTCCAAGGTCAAGGAAGCAGAGAGCTGAGTCTTCCTTAAGGCAAGGCAGGCAGTCTGGCAACAGGCAGCAAACAGCAGGGCTGGTCACCAACAGTCAGCAGCTCAGGAGCTTAGCAAAGCAGGCCCCAGATGGGATATCAAGCTCAAGCAATCGAAACAACAGGATCCAACAGCTTCAAGCTCAAGTGCTATATACCATCAATGTGGCAAAGCAGGTCTCAAAGGAACCTCAAGCTCTAGCTACATAATCTACAGGTTGACTGTCCCACAGGTAGTGTAGCTCACAAGTTGAGGCAGAGAACTTAGGGAAAGCAGCTGCATGTTGGTCTGATCACCAGAGAGCAAGAGAAAGGGGGGCGGGGCTTGCCAAGCCATTTATCTCTTTGCCCTCCAATCAAACTGCAACCTTATTAATCCCACATGTTCCTATTGGCACAATAAACCTACCTATCACAAGGAGTAATTGTATATCAAGAAAACATCCTAGTCTAGTCCAGATCAAGTCCATAAGTCTGATATTAGTCCATAAGTCTGATACTAGTCCATAAGTCCCTCTTAAGACTCATGAAGCCACATGTAATGATGGAGAATACAGGAACATCACCAGCTGGTGGGTGCAAAGACTTGTGGATCCAGTGGTGGTGGACACATCTCTAGGGCTAGTGCAGATTTCCATGTGGCGCCAACAGGTAGGTGAAGGCAGAGAGAGAGGGGGAGGTTCCCAGAACCCTCCTTAGAAGGAGGTCACACCCACAAGAAGGCACCATCAGGCTGTGACTTGATTTGCTGGTTAAACTCCACCCATATCTACTTTCAGGTGCCATGTTGGCATAAAAAGAGTAACTATCACACCCTATATCTTTTCTTCTTAACCCACTATCACTGAGTTAATTCCAACTCACAGTGACCCTATAGGACACAGAACTTCATAGGGTTTCCAAGGCTATAAATATTTATGGAAGCAGACTGCTTTATTGTTCTTGATTGAGCAGCTGGTGGATTCGAACCACTAACCTTGCAGTAGCAGTAGAATACTTGCTTCTCTCCGTCTTCGGAGCTCATTCTCTGCTTGCCTGTTTGTTTAAACTCTTTCATATCTCAAAAGAGATTGACTCAAGGGAGATGATCATTAAGAGTCTCTACCATCAACCAACAAGGATGCTTCCAAGGTGAGCCAGAGGCAGATAAAAAGCAAAGATTCAAGAATGGATTTTGGCTCACACTTAATTTTAGTTCCATTCTAAGAAAAATTAGTTCTTATGATATGGCCCTGCTTGATACTCACCTTTATGAAGAAATCATGGAAGATATGGGTGCTATAGCAAAATGTACTGAAAAAATTAGATAGAATAGAGTCTGGGGACTTAAAAGCTTGTTTCCAAACATGTAGTCATTTAAGTGAGATGTCAACTAAATCCACATGGAAGAAGCACACCAACATCCATGACCCCAGGATTGTAAATCATATAATCCAAAGCCAAGGGAGAGAATAGTATCAGAGTGTATACTGTGAGATTCTGGTGTGCAGAAGACAGTGGATGACAGTGGAAACCCAAAATACATTTGCAAGAGCTACACAGGGAATACACTTTTGATGATTTACCTCTAACCATAACTGAGGGGTAGGAATAACTCTCATTATGCTTACTTCACTGAGCATAATTTCCTCCAGTTCTTCCCATGTGGCGATGTGCTTCATATGTTCATCACTGCTTTTTAGGGATGTGTAGTACTCCATTGTATGTGGTTCCCAGACAGAGAGTATTGGAGAGATGAGTATAGTAGATTAAAATGATAAATATGACTTGAATGGTTACAACTTTGTTACTTGATCCCTTCTCTGATACACCATGAGCTTGATCTGTTTTGTTTTTTCTCTCCTCGCTTAAAAAAATTTTATTGGGGGCTCATACAACTCTTATCACAATCCATACGTACATCTATTGTGTCAAACACATTTGTACATTTGTTGCCATCATCATTCTCAAAACATTTGCTTTCTGCTTGAGCCTTTGGTATCAG